CACTTATGAGTTGGACTCAATGTGGGTCCCTTCCAACTCAGAACATCCCGTGATTCTGTGAATTTGCTTAGATGGCATGGGAGCATTTGACTRTTTGTGCCTGGTGATAGACCAAACACCCCAGAAAACACAGTACATTGCCAAGCAGGAAGAGCATACTGAGTTCCATTMCTAGTTTTCCTTCTGGTACAAAAATCTTAATTTTTAATATTCCGTCTGTAACAGTTTGCCACATAGTAATTCTCCATTTCAAAGAAAYTGGATAAACTTTTAATATAAAATCATATCCATAATCCCTGCTCTCCATGGTGTCTGATCTCCTGCTGTTTTTTAATATGATAGGCCTAGAAAATTCACTTATTGTAATTTTTCTTTTTAAATTACTAAGTCGTAACCTCAAGTAAGGAAAAAACCTTTAGCAGTCCATGCACTGGATGTCACAACGTTCTTCCTCTCTGAATTACACTAGAGAAAGCTTTTCCCTTTAAAATGAACATCAGTAAATATGTTGGCCAACAGTCAGACCCATTGCCATATGTAAACTAAATGCAGAGCGGTCTGAGCAAGAGCAGCACTGATGTCAAAACAGCACCATCCCTGAGYGAGCGGCTTTGAGGAGATCGGCTTAGAAAGTTTCCAGTAGAACACCATTCCAACAGAAAGTGCTGACTTGATGAAACCCAAAATATTCCACAGGAATGTGCTAATTCAATCAAAACCTTTGAAAGAGGAAAGGCYGGCTTGCCAAGCCAGCCAACCAGTCTAGTGMGCTGACTGGCTGTGCCCAGCTTTCYRGGGTCACTGACTTTCCCATCTGGCCWGGTGCCAGGCTGCTATCCCTGCCTTCTGAGGGGCCCTCTAATAATAATAAAAATAATGGAGTCTTACAAAGTGTGCTGAGAAACAAACAAAGGAATTTAGAAATGAAAACCAGAATAATTTCAGAACCAATTGCAGGGTTTCATCAGAAGGAATTGGGTGCATTTGTTGCAAAGCATCTAAAGTCACATCTCTCCTGTGTCTCCTCAATTTTTCATAAAACATCTTCCAGTGAAAAAAGCTGTATCGATATTGTAAYAACACAAAATAAACAACAATTATATTAAAATACCAAACTTCACCAGGCATCTCTAATCACCAGCAAGGAGATTAAGGCAAGTTGCTTACAAAGCACTGAGGAAATWCACATAAATGCCCCTGCCTGACCAAAACACAGGGCTACAGTGTAAGTAACACCTTTCACAGAGTGGTCCCTAACTAGGATCCTGCTTAACTCACCATGACCAATTTGAACAAGATGGTGCAAGGGGCCTCATTTAACACCGTGGAGAAGCAAAAAAGGAACATATTTTAGCGGTCTTTTTAAAAAAAACACCCTGTCAACTAGCAAATAACCCAGTTTCTTCATAAAACTGCTTCTGGCAACCTGTGGTTAACCAGTGCATGGGACCTACTCTGGCTCATCAGCAGCTAACAGTATTTGTCARTTGCTAAGAAAGGTTTTTTAAGACAGTATCACGAGACACCACAATGATTTTTGCACAATACCATTCATTTAACCAGCTTCTCTAAAAAAATGCCTAGATAACTGGCCTATGTGTGAACACCACAAGTAGTTTAAGAAATGTGGAACAAAGTTCCACAGAAAAAAAGAAAGAGCTCTTTTTACATGCCAAATTGAGTCAGCAATGAGATAGCTGTTGCAGGCTAGTCACATGATTTTGAAAGAATAAGGSCAATAAAATGTAATTATATATTTATATGAAAATCAGCACAACTTCCAGCACAGAACTGAGACAATCTTGTGACYACTCTTTCAGAAAACTCATGTAAATCAGACAGCTGCCCAAGTTTGCAGTTCACTGACCCTTTCAACTGCCAATGCAATGCACAAAGGTAGCTCAGAAACCAATTAGAGATTGGCTGGGAGGGCTCATTAATTTATTTAAACTTCAAATCACAACTAAGCAGTCTTATAACATTTTTCTGAGCGAGACTGTATGCCTCAGACTCATTTAGAAAGAAAGATTTGTCTTCTCAGAATGACAAAACACATACAATTTGCTCCCTGGTGTTTCTTAGAAAGGACAACTAATACATTTACGGTACCATGAGGAAACACATCTTGAACAGAAATAGCCATAAGCAYAGTTCAATCCAATTGCTCATTCTCTAAATATCTTTGCACCTGCAAACTCTAAGGCTCCCTTCAACTACTTGCAACACAAAWCTCAGAGACAAAAGAAGGTGAGGGGGGAAAGGGAATAAAAGAAAAAAGATATTTTTCCTTGTAGTGATAATTGGACTAGGAAATATCAGAAGCCAACTCATATTGGCAATGATGCCTGGCTGGTTCTATTTGGGTATATATGGCATAAGGCCAAGATAACAATGAGAAAGTAAAGCATAAAGACATGTTTTCCATTTTGGAAGAAGGTATCAAAAGTTGACAGCAGCATCTTTTCTTCTCTCAAACAAAACTTGAGATGCCCTTGATCTATGGCAAAAAGACAGATTCATCACTGATCTCATGATGACAAACAGCAAAACTGACATAAATAAATGCATGCATATAGACATTCATATGCAGGTCTGGGCCTGAAATCATGGCAGCATTAAGTTATCAATCTGCTAGTTAATTTTCTTTCATTAGYCTCATTAAAGGGACCACAACCGTACCACAAAGTAACAACTGAACACTGCACAACTCAGAAGCCATTTCCTCAATTTCTCTGTGTTGCAGTAATTTAAATAGCCAGCTATAGCCTGTAATTCAAGATTTAGTCCATGACTCCAGGAGCTGACCAACAGGAGCCACAAGGATCAATGTACACTTCTTTGAAGTGTTTATGAAAATGAGACCATATATTCTAAGTAAGTATCTCTCTCAAACCAGCCTACCTAATTTGACAGTTTCCTTATTTCACACTTATATAAACATTTCCTAGAATCAGTTTCYGAGGCTCACTGTACAGCAGACACACTCCTAAACTGAGAGATKATATGCTGCTGTTAAYTCATATTGCATTGCCCAATATGCAACTGCTCTTGTCATGCTGCAGATTATCCAGCGTGGTTTCAGCTGCCACTCACAGGTTTTACTTCTGCACATTTGTTGACTTAAAAAACTATGCAAAGGTAACAAGATGACCCAAAGGAGCTCCAACCAGCAGTGTCAGCTGAGAGAAACAGTGCAGGAAGGAAAAGTCTGAATATGGCACCACTGTGATYCAAACCAACATCACAAATGATACTGAGAGGTTACATTATGTAATTGCCATGTCTTCCAACAAAAGGTAGTTAGCTGAGTGCACTCACATGTACATGCAGGAAGCAGCAGGGGCAAAGGATTTCAGTCAGTCAACTYGTAATTTGTGCACACCCCATTAGATGGATTAGTGCCAGAGCTAGTTCTCTGTCAGTCTGCCTTCTCCTGCTCCACCCTAACTGATCCCAAGTGCATTATCCCACCCTGACTGGGTGACTAGTCTGCTTCTCTTCTCTCTAATGTCCAACATCCCTCAGTACACAGCTTACCTTGGAAAATGCTCAGACCTAAATTTAAAAAGGAAAAACAAACAAAGAAAAAGCCCTCTCTGTTAGATGATGTCAACCTTCTCAAATATATGTGTGGTAACACCAGGAAGAAAAAAGAAATATTTACAGAAGAAAAAAGAAATAAGTACTGTGCTTTCAAATGGATTTCACAACTCTGAGCATATGATTTCAAATTATTTTTGCAATTAAGAGCCAGTAGTATTGGAGAGCATTAYGCTATCCAGACAAAGAATAAGGTGGGCCCAACCATTCAAGACTTGGTCCAATAAAAATTTTCAGTGTAGAATACCACAACAGCAAGGTGCCTGGAGAGTCAAAGAGCCCATAACACTTCAAGGTATTTATGTAGCAAATAACATATGTTGGAAATGACCTTTGGTAGTCATTGGGTCCAACCCTCACTCAAAGCACAACCAAGTTGGACTAAATTGCTCAAGGATGGAGGGTGCACAACCTCTTGAAGTGCCTACTACAGTATTTGACCACCCTCATTATGTGACACTTCTACTTTACACTGAATCAGATTCTTCCCTGATGTAACTTGTGAGCACYAACTTTCAACTTCTTGCTGTGCACCTCCAAAGGAAGTTCACCTCTCTCTCCTCTCTACAATTTTATTCTAACTGCATTCTGTTCTAACATCTGATGACTCACAAGCAATAATCTCACTGAAAATGCACTGTAGGATTTTCTGCCAAAGCAGTCACTAAAATTTCAGGAAGATTTTCTAATTCCTAGTTTCCCGAAGCCTTTTTGTGTGCTCGCCACAGAACTGAGTGCCAGCCTAAGCCACAGTGACAGAATGGTTTCATCCCAGTGGCAGAAGCTTGATTGCCAGTTTGCCTTGCATGACAGGCTGCCTAGGAGAACTTAGTARTACGGGGAAGAAACAGCACTACTACAGGTGATTCATTTGATATTGGCCAGTTTGATTAAAAATAACAAAAACATATAACCAATCTTTACAAAGATTCACATATGGAATCTGCTGAAGAAGAAGTTCTTTAGTTCCTTCAAGAAAGAGTAATTTTCTTGAAAAATATGCAAATACACAGCATGTCAAGCAACAGTCCTTAATAAAGTCCCCAGGAGACTCAACTGACCCCCCTCACGACTTGATATCATTAGATGAAGGGACATGTAAGCTACACGTATCTCAAGTGGACAATAAACACATACTAATCAATCATCAAAAAATGGAATAAAGACATTCAAATAAGAATAATTCTATATTTGAGAAATACAGGGCAAATTATATTGGCATGCAGTATAAAAAGACCAAGTTCTTAGGAATTAATTTAAAAAAATAAACAACAAGCAAAAAACCCCCAATAATTTCTGAGTCCACCAAACTAGTTAACAGAGTATCTTATTAAGTAAAGTATTATTATCACACTGATATTTAAAATTAGTAAATAATTATCAGCTTACTTCTTTCTTACCATTGTAGGTTATCCTTGGTTTTGTCAAACACATCACAAGATGTAAATCCATTTCGTCAGAAGATACAAATTTTGAACATACAGGGCACTTGAATCCTATGGAAAATAAAAATATGTGTGAGCATACTCAAGCATGTAGCAAATAGATATATCCAAGCCAAAAAGCTATTCTGCAAACATTAAAAGAAAGAAAATAAAAATCCGGGGAGCTTTTCAGTTTTGACCTGGCATTTACTAATAAATACAATGCCCTTGATTTCACAAGACATCAAAATGAACTATTGTTTCTAGAAATCATTCTATTGACAATTGCAAACATTGTCAGCACCTCTGCAAACAAACTTTCCTAACAACTTTAAGGACTGTTTAGGGCAGGAGCAAGAGGAKCATATGACTCTACTGAAACAGGAATTAGAAATGTATGGAGGACATAGCCATTAAAATTTGAACAGGAACCCTGAATTAACATGTTCATTTTTACCTGGAATTGCACTGAAACTTTAACTAAGGATCTGAGTTTYACATCTCATCATACAAACTTCAGCATCTTTTACCAGTCTGGGGCACTGGGAAAATATTAACTCAGGGGTGTTGCCTCACCTACTGAATCACTAATATTTCCTGTAGCACTGAATTTGTTTGACTGCTCTCATCCTAGCCAAGCATGACCTTGTTTAGCTTTTGAGGTCACCGCCTCARGCAACATGGGGTAAAGAATAATTAAGACAGTCTGGATCGTGATGCAACTGCATAACAGTCTATGACAAAAGTGCTTAATACCTTAATTTATGTCATTGCCAAAGACAGCAGTCTTCTAGTTACAGGACAAGATCAGCTGGACAACTTTTACAGTCCACAGAAAAGCCTGATTGACTTTGATCTGCAGAATAATTAACACGTAAGTGAGAGAAAAAAGAACCCACTAACTGGGATCTTGATGCATAGTGGTTAAGGAGTACACCTACAGGCAGATTGCCCAATAGGACAACATTTGGCAAAATTATCTAAACTACATCCACACTCATTACAAAGGCACAACTTTTCCTCTGATGCTGTTGAGTAATGATGCAGGCCGGTATAAAAGGTTACTGTACCTTCCACCAACATGCCCATCTGGGCCTGCTCCCACATGTTTTAGTTTGTTGCCCTTACTTTTGTACTTCTAACCTTGGAAATCCACAATAAATTGAATCAGTCAAGGATGACAAGCAACTTCATGCTGCACTTTCAAGTTACTGATGCCTGAGAATTTACATCTTTACTGTTAATTATTATCCAGATGTAGATCAAGCAACTAACCTGAAGCATTAGCACTTGATACAAGTACTGCACCTTCCTTTATCAAGAAAATGAGTTATTTCTTATGGGCAGCTAATAGGAAGCAAGGCAAAGAAGGCAGCTAGTAACCATAAGAAACTCAAGGCAGCAGCTGAACATGTGCTGGAAACCACTTCCTGAGATAAAGTATAGTTCTGCTTCTTCCAATTTTAGTCATATCTATTTCTTCTTTGTGTCAATCTTACACTTCAGTTTAAATATTGCTCTTTCCTTAATTTTAATCCTCCGCCCCTAACCCACATCTTTACAAACAGTTACAACCACAGATCAATAACCATAGCACAGCCAAACACAACTTTTGAAAAAAAAACATGTTGAAAGGATTAATTTACATGTTGAAAGCTTTATCAGTAACCTTTCAGCCACTGTGCAGCCTCCTTCAACCAGGATACATCTCAACATGACTAAAATCGAAATTAATGCCTCAGTCCTCCAAACTCATAAACCTACCCATTACTGTTTTGTTATGGGTTTCTTCAGGGTAATTTTCTCTCACTCTTTAYTACCTTAATCCTGCTGATTACTGGGTTTTGACTAGACTTAAGACCCATGCGTTATTCTCATTTATTTTCTTCTGTAAGGTGTAATTGACAACAGTTTGATGTGAAAAAGGCTCTAACTTCCTTATAGTCTTCAGACTGAGTCCTGCTGTGACAGAAGGGAGTGTTTGCATTACAGCAAGTTAACATTCATGTTCATGGCTAGTTAAGCACCGAGATAGTCATTAACAGGTTCCCTCTGCTTTCTGGACAGAACTCYTCTAGCTTATCCCCCAGCACATGTAATTGGGAGTGACAGTGGTTAGGGACAACCACCAACACGTCCTTAGAAGCACTGTTAAAATTAACAGCATTATTAAGAAGGTACATATCTTGGAGGAAACACTCTAACCCAAGTAAAATACCAGGGAGAGCTTGAGTAAATAACAATGATAATGATAACAATGATAACAATGATAACAATAATATCGTTTTTATTTAAAGCCATGCTTGAAGATAGACAGCTGTGAAAAATCTTTCTGGTTATCCACCTTGAGTATTCAGATGAATGTGCTTTTACTACCATGCACCTGCCTTTAAAACCTAGTAAATTATCTGCATCCTAGCAATATAGTAAGTATTTTAACAATAGATTTTGTTGTGKCTTGTTATGTATCAGGGAGAATGTGAAGGTAATGGTTAAACAACCTCCTGACACAGCAAGTCTGGGATACCTGATTGCTGTAGYTCTACTCAGTGTGCAGAACTCAAGAACCCAAAGAATAAAGGACATCGCACAAGGAACAACTCAGCTGACAGAGGTAAATGGTGTATTTGTGGAAAATATGCTTTTCCAGTGGCTAGAATCAGCTGCATGACACAGACTARCATAACAGCAGAAAAAGAGCCTTGGGCTCACAACACTTGCTGAAACATTCTTTAAGTACAAGAGAAATCCAATTTCTCATTCCTTCACAATGTTCCACTAAAATCCAGCTCCTGGATTTAGCCATCCTCCCCARGAGATGTATAGTGTAAGTTTTGTGTGAAGGAAATTACCATTTCCAACTCCTTTCAGTAACCTCAAAGAACAGAGTATTTTGACTACAGACACAATATTTACTTTATTCTAACGGTACTTGAAAAATGTAAGTAAGTAAAAAATCAAAACCGTCCACAAGCCAGTTAAAGGTCCTTTAAAAAGCTGGTATTTCCCCACCTTTCCTCAAATCAGAAGGCAATACTTTCATGACCCAGTTTACAATTAAGTACTCCCTAAGAACAAAGACTCTATTGTACCCCTGCCCAGCAGGCTAACATCATTTATAGCCTATGTTTGTTTTTACCATCATCTCAAGGAACAATTCCAATAACTTAAAGAAAGCTTCACATGAYTTTAACAATCAGAAACAGGTCAGAAATAACTTGCTCTCTACATGACTTGTTTTACCGAATTTTGTAGATAAAGAATGCATTCACAGACATTTGGACAAGAAAGAGGAAGCAGTTATCAGATGAGGTAGCATCTTATGAAGTGTCTTCAAAAAACCTATGAAACTCAAATTACTCCTTTCTCACTCTCTTTAMAAAGACAGCACAACAGATAATATACAATTCTAGGTAAGAAACCAGCTCTTAGGAAGAAGTTGCTTTCACAGCATCCCTTATTTTTATCCAAGATGACAAGCTATCCATCCCCTTTCTATTAGTGTTGATACTGTCCACACATCTCCATAGTTTTCCTTCCTTCTCCCATAGCAGAGAACTCTGCTTGTGACACACKCTAAGTCAGCCCAAGAACCACCTCTCACCCCATTCCCTACATACAGAAGTACAGCACTAAAGAACTGAGCACCAAAACCAAGCAACCACACACCTCTAGCTGACTTTTACAACTGCATSCTTAGGAGAGCAGGGAGCCAAAATCTTACAATCTCCCACCATCTAGTTTCACAACCCCAACTACAATACTGAAAGTAACACGTTACTTAAAATGAAACCAAAATCCTGGGAAAAAAGTACAATTACAAGAAATGGAGACAGAACAGAAAGTTGCAGTACAGCTATTAGAAAATCCAAAGGTGGCACAGAAAATTTGAAATAACTAAACCTGCCTAAATATCAGAACTCATATCAGAGGTGAATTCTGTCTCTCATTCTCTCTTGAATGTATCACCTTCTTCACATTCGGCCATCTTTTGCAAGTGAACCTCCAGTTACCCAAGAAATCCCATCTTCATTCACATCCAACTATCAAACTCATAATTTTTATCTCTGGCAGGCTGGGGAACGAACCACAGGGAYAGGCTGATGAGTGGCCACTCGTTCTGTCTCTACCAATTTCAGCCTCTTAGTGATACCTTGCTRTATTTGCCTTGCTTTGCAAACATCAGACTGCTTAACTTGCACTTCAGCATAGCAGAGCAAACATAAAACATCCAATGAATACGAAACTCCTGGATCTCTAAGATTTTTTACAAAATCATGCTAGCACTTATTCTGGAATATCTAGTTTGTGGTGCAAAAAAAGAGAACTGCTAAGAGCTTCCCGACAACACAGTGCAGAGTGTCATAGAATTGCACATAAAGGAAACACGTTGAAGCAGTGTTAGAGTTGCACAGCAGAGTGGATCATCCTTTCAGTCAGTATTAAGCAGTTGTAGCAAGAAGTAAGCACAAATAAAACCTGCACCAACAYAAAAGATTGAATCAGCCTGATCAGAGTAACTTTTCAGCAGAAAACATCAACTGGAACACTGCCAAAGCCAAACTAAAAGTAGAGTGGGAGCAGCTGCTCTTTTAAAGTATGCAGCATATTACTATTTTAAGTCTTTGTATCCTTGTGTTTTCAAATAAGACAGATAAATCCACCTTGTTTTGCATTTAAAGAAGTCATAAGAAAAGAGAAATCCTTGTATCTACACACTTTTTCTAGAGTGTATTTGAGAATAAGAAGCCTGACAAATGTTACTTGCATATTCACACATGATCKCTGGTACTTAGAAGTTTAGACAATCTGGAAGCACAGCATCCACTAAATACAATGGTATGAGGGTGGTAAGAAAGCCTGCKTAATGACACTAAAAGGAAACAATACAACACAAAAAAAAAAGGTCAATTACTTCTTATGTGTTCAGTAGACATGGAAACCAGTCAGTAACTGCTCAGTGCAAAACACATGTACACATATTGGAAAGTCTGCACCCTTTATCATTTTCCCCTGGTCTGAAAAAAAAACCAGGTTACTCTAATCTTTCCTCACAGGCCCTGATGCCTAAA